TTACTTCTCCTTCTCGGTCATGCTTGCAATTGGCCTCCCTTAGACCACTTTGGTTTCTTAAGCGTTTTTCAGTCAATTTGACCTATAAGCCAAGCTATTAAGTCAAATGAATTTTTATATTAATAGCACGAATAAATTCAAATAATTGTTAAAAGAATTTTAATTGCACAGAAAATTTGCGCAAAAATTTCAATCGCACAGTCATTCAATAAATATTATTTAAAAAAATGTCAAAATATTGTTCCAATTTGTTTGTATTGGTAAAGAGAGACCGAAGAGAAAAAACAAAAGAAAAAAATTCAATACAACATATTTGATGTGTTACCACCCAAATAATTGTTCCTTGCGTTTAATGTTCGGTTGCACTGAAAATTTTCCGAGTATTTACTTCTCCTTCTCGGTCATGCTTGCAATTGGCCTGCCTTAGGCCACTTTGGTTTCTTAAGGTTTTTCAGTCAATTTGACCTATAAGCCAAGCTATTAAGTCAAATAGCACGAATAAATTCAAAAAATTGTTAAAAGAATTTCAATTGTATAGAAACTTTGCACAAAAATTTTAATTGCACAGTCATTCAATAAATATTATTTTAAAAAAAATGTCAAAATATTGTTCCAATTTGTTTGTGAGAAACAGAAGAGAAAAAACTAAAGAAAAAAATTTAATACAATACATTTGATGTGTTACCACCCAAATAATTGTTCCTTGCGTTTAACGTTCGGCTGCACTGCACATTTTGCGAGTATTTAAAGGAAAATTTAAAAAATAACGTAAGGGTAAATTAATGAAAGGAAATATAATAATCGTAAGTACCGGAATGTAGTCCGGCTAAAACTATACACTGAATATCGCATGTAGTTAATTGCTTAATAAAAGTAGGAATTTCCTGGTACCAGATCCAGGGGAAAATGCCGCTCTTTTCCCGACCGTAGCGATATTCTATAACATATATTTTTATATCCCTCTATCAAGTACAGTGCAACCTTGATATAACGAAGGGCCAGACTGGCAAAATGTGTTCGCCATAACGAGGATTCTTTATATCGAGGTTCTTCTCCACATATTTTCCTATCAATAGGGTGAAGAATGTCGTTCGTTATAGCGAGGACTTCATTCCATAGATGTTCTTTATATTGAGGTTCCACTGTATTGCTTTATTAGGTGTTATTTGTTGTATTAGCGCTAAAAATTAACTGTTGCATTATGTAAGTAGCAAATTATTCAATTTTTCTAAAAGACATTACGTTTTGAATTTTTTGTATTCTGGTTCCAATTACCTTTAATGATATTTAATAGATTTGTTTCTGAGTGAAACAGACTGTTACCGAGGCACCTGTGTTGTTCTCCATAAACTATATATTAAGAAGGTTAATGTTTTAAATAAATTGTCATGTTGCAATCAATATGTCAGTCATGTTTTACTGAATTTAGTCCGTGCCACCCAACAGTGGAAAACCTAGACAGAAGATTGATCTTCATTCGGCTCCAGCCTTCCCCGCAGAGTCTCCAGTCTCGCCCCGGCTTTTTTTTTGTCCTCGCAAATTTGAGCCACAGTCAACAAAACTTATACTTCTGAATTATCGAGAGGCGTGCTGAGGTTTTCACCTTTTTCTTACTTGAAAGAGGGTTATGCCAAAAGAAATGCGTGAAATAATACTTATTTATATTGCGCAAATTAAAATAAAATAATATATGATCAAATGCGAATGAGAGGAAGCGAGGGGAGCAATGCTGTTGCGTGTGCTAGTGTGCAAATGGATCCTCTATTGTCGTTAACTGTTTCAACTTATAATTGTGTTTAGGCCGGAATGTAGAGTTGTATGAGCAACAAAAGGAAGGGGGGTAGAATAACTTTGAACAACTATTCTCACTGAGAAAACACGCACAAAAACCTAAATTAGAGCATCAAAACACTTCCTCACGTTCTCAACCTGACCCGGGGGAATACATGGCATATCCACAGACCTTGTCCCTCAGTTTTAAGAGCAGCCTAGTGTTTGATTATTCAGCCGGTTCTAGCAAAGCTTAGGTCTCGGCACCATCGATAGCAGCTCTCATCCCACCCTCCTCCCTGCAGCAGCGAGGTATTACTCCTGTTCTCTCCTGGTCAACCGACTCGCAAAGCCTCGGGCAGAGTCTCCTGTATCTTACGAGTTTAGCCTCATTTGACTTTGTGTGCAGGTGTTCCAGCTGAGAATATATTACTGTATTCTTTGAGGTAATTTACAATGGCGAAGCCGACGCACTGTTACACCAGCTTGGACGTCACACGTGATTGGAAAACGGCCTTGTTATTGACTCAAACCTTTTACCTCCGTATTTGCTTCTCTCTTTGGTTTTGCAATAAAACGTTATTACAACGACGAAAGAAGGGAGAAAATGAAAACGATATTCCGAACATTTCCACACGATGAACAAGGTCTTGACTATCAGTTTCCCTTGGTCACCTCGTCAGTCTATATTGCATCTTTTTTTTATTATTATTTACGCTAAAGAAAACGCATCTCCCGTGTTCGCTTGTGTTTCCGTCTTTGGTAGACTTTTGTTCACCAGCTGGATTGATCTCTGTTGGAATCAGGATGTTCACTTTTCACGGGACGCGCTTTCGTATCACAGGTCTGTGCTTCAGGTGTGCAAGTTACTGTGACGTGCTCGCGAAAATTATTAAAGTAGTCAACAACATTTGGTTACTACCAAATGTTTATTGGAGCATTAATCTGCACTGCAGATTAATACCCCAATAGAGTACTAAAGTGTGACGTCATAAAAATGAAATTTCTGAAATTATGGGATTTGTCAGGATATTCTGAAAGAACAATGTCCAAGAGGCCTACTTGCCAAAAATGAGCATTTGGCCATGGGGGCAAATTGTCTCTGAGATCGTAGCCCAGTTATGCTTACAAAACTCCATACAAACCCTTCTAAATTTTTTTTGGGTCGACCAAAAAAAAAAATTAGAAGGGTTTGTATGGAGTTTTCTGAGTATAACTGGGCTACGATCTCAGAGACAATTTGCCCCCAAATGCTCATTTTTGGCAAGTAGGCCTCTTGGACATTGTTCTTTCAGAATATCCTGACAAATCCCATAATTTCAGAAATTTCATTTTTATGACGTCATCACTTTAGTNACTGTGACGTGCTCGCGAAAATTATTAAAGTAGTCAACAACATTTGGTTACTACCAAATGTTTATTGGAGCATTAATCTGCACTGCAGATTAATACCCCAATAGAGTACTAAAGTGTGACGTCATAAAAATGAAATTTCTGAAATTATGGGATTTGTCAGGATATTCTGAAAGAACAATGTCCAAGAGGCCTACTTGCCAAAAATGAGCATTTGGCCATGGGGGCAAATTGTCTCTGAGATCGTAGCCCAGTTATGCTTACAAAACTCCATACAAACCCTTCTAAATTTTTTTTGGGTCGACCAAAAAAAAAAATTAGAAGGGTTTGTATGGAGTTTTCTGAGTATAACTGGGCTACGATCTCAGAGACAATTTGCCCCCAAATGCTCATTTTTGGCAAGTAGGCCTCTTGGACATTGTTCTTTCAGAATATCCTGACAAATCCCATAATTTCAGAAATTTCATTTTTATGACGTCATCACTTTAGTTCTCTATAAAAAATTGAATTTCTAGTACAAAGAGAAATCGAGTCTGAGAAGCAAATTCACAAACTTTAATTAAGCGGACTCTCCTTTTCAGTCAATTTTGTTTTTTTAGTTCTCTGCCAATTCAGTAATACACCCATTTTATTATCAACCAGAAAACCAGCTGCTAAAAGTGCAAACTAATGCTGACACAAATCTTCTCTGATTGGTTAAAACAGACTGATAAGTATGAAACCTGGAAAAATAGTTGTTCTGCTTACGTGTGCACAGTTAAGATTAGGTGGTTTGGCCAACACAAAACAAAGAGAGCAATTAGAATTCTTACAGTAACAGTGAGAAAAATACTTAAATTACACCTTTTAAGAATATCTTCTCAAGCTGTCGATCTACAGAAAGGTGAAAAGCTTCTTCATCGAAAATGATCGGCCCAACGTTTCTACAAATTAACTTCGGACCTGATTGGAAAATTCACGAAGCGAACATTAAAAAGCGCAGTCCGTGGCACTGAGAACAGAAATTACAGCTTAAAATAGATACTTACTTTCAGAGTCATCTTAGAAACAGGAGATCCCACACTATAATCCCGTATTACTTGCAAATACTATCAACTGCAAGTAAAAACCAGCAACTGCATGAATTCGATCTAAAACACATGAAATAAAGCTAAAATTGACCGATACAACGATAGAGATAATTTCCTGGAAATCCAGACAAAAGGTCTTAAGATGTAAAAGCTTTTGTTGGAAATCTTAATTGAACATATTTTACAATAAGAAAAGTTGCCGTGGAAGCGTACTAAGAAAGAACATATCTGTTTTACAACGAATTCATGACAGGAGAAGTTTTATGTTGACCACTTCTGGTTTTAAATGCCTGTCGAAGCTGCAAATGAATGTAATTCTAAACAACTACTGGTAAGTGATTACAATATTCTGAATATTCGTAAAATTACATTCCGACAAAACATCCCCTTAAAATTATAGAATAAATCAAAACTGGGTAAGGGAAAAGTAGAGCAAAGCTAAACTTTCGATTGCTTGCATTTTTATTGTCGCAAGGCCCATTTGATACTAGCCAATGGCTGAAAGACGCTACCCTGCCAAAAAAATGTTTGACCTGACTTGACTTGACTAGTCAGGTTTAACAGCTCTGCTTCTTGAAGTAAGAAATATCAAAGTTAACCTTAGGTTTAGCCAGACAGTACCTTTGTGATAGGGGAATAAATTGAACCAAATGTCTTCGTGTAAAAGAAGGGCCATTAAAATATTTTATATGACTACAGTATTGCTGCCAGCGTCCATAATTGGTAACTCACCAGCATTTTCAATCACGAATCAAAAAAGCATTATTGCGGTACGGAGCATGTCCTGAGTAAGAACTGATGTCATATTTATTCAAAAAGCTGAATGCGATGGTTATTGTAGTCGGTCACGACTATTTTACCATCACTAAGAACTGCAGCAGAGACAGGTGTATTAAACTCTCCCATCCCGCTTCCCTTTGTTCCAAACTTAGCAACAAACTTCCCACTCAGATCAAACACCTGAATCCTGTAATTTTTTTTATCACAAACCATCAGGTGCCCTGCTTTGTTCATGAACAAGCAACGAGGTGTGTTTAATTCCCCGTCTGAATTTCCCTTCTTCCCAAATTTGTAAAGAAAGTTACCCTTTCTATTAAATAATTTTACAGAATGATCACCACTGTCTGATATTATAAGGTAGTTGTCATGTTGAATACAGTGAAAGGGTTGAGTGCAACAACCATCTTTGCCAATTTTACTTAAAAACTGACCCCCAGCAGAAAAAATCTTTATTAACTCATTATCACAATTAGCAACGAGGATGTTGCCATCACTGTCAATAGATAAACCACAAGGATGATTAAGCTGCCGATCAAGACGTCCTTTTTCACTAAAATGGCTCAGGTACTGCCCCTGTTTACTGATTTGCTGAACTCTGCAGTTATACTGTTCAGCCACAATAATATTATTACCGTGAAAAGCTATTCCGGCTGGCCTGTTGAACTCACCTTGTTGTGTTCCATATCCACCAAAGGATTTAATATGAGTTCCATCGCTCTTAAATAAATGAATCTTATCGTTACCAGCGTCACTCACTGCAATTTCATCATCGTCGTTTACTGCTACCCCCCAAGGATTCTCCAATATTTGCTCTCCAAAAGATAACACAGGTCTGAACTGTCTGGGTTTGACTTGAACCTCAAAAGGGCTGCCACGGATATGTTCTCCATTAACCTTCACTGATGCACTACATGTTCCTGTTTCTTTGGCGAAGTATTTGATCTTGTAACTACCATCTTTGTTATCTTGAACTTGCACATCAGCTGCGCAGTTGTCGCCTTGACGATTATTGATTTCCAGTGTTACAGAGTCGTAATCGTCGTAATACTGTTGGAATTTATTGTTTCTTGTTGTCACAATAAGCTGTGCTTCAAGTCCAACAATCGCTTCTCTGATTCCTTCTCCATCAGCACTTGATTGCTGCGCTTTAGTCTGGGTACTTTTGAGTGAGCCAATCTGTTCTACGCATGCGAGATCAAAAAACTTTTGATTTTTCACAAAACTCAGCCTCGCTAAAAAACTTTCGTTCTCACGATCGGTGACTGTCTCCTCTTTGCTATTCTCTTCCCTTAATATAATGTTCAACATATCGTTCGGCTGCATAATTTCGGCACTTGTGCTTCGCTTTATAATTGTTTCTGTCCTTTCAATTTCTGATTCATGCTGTTTAACCTGTTCTACAGACTTGTCCATTTGTATTCCTATGTGCTCAAGAGATAATTGTGTTCTCCGTTCCACATCATCAAAGATTTATAGTTTCTTTGCTTCAATAGCTGCATGAATGCTGTCGGCATACTCTTGTACGTTTCTCTTCACGCAGGCGGCTCGTTCTTGAACTACCTCGTGATTCGTTAAGTTTCTCGATCTCACTTTTCTTTGCTTGCGCTCTTTTTTTCTGAGATTCAATTGCAGATTTCAGTCTTAACTTTCGTTCATTTGCAGCCAGTTCTAGAAGCATCTTTGCGTGCCCCTCGTGATCCAATAAAGCACGGGCGTTACAAATTGCGACTTCGCAAATCTTGCAAAAGAACTCCATTTCTTTCTTTTCGTGGCCTGGAATTCCGCAAAATGAAGGTCGCTTTAAAATGTTTTCAAAGTCTTGATCTTGAAAATTTTTCAATGCCAGTGCATAGTGATCTTTGTTGGCTTTGATTTTATTGTGAAAACTTATACATTCTTCGCACCAGAAAGCATAACACTGGAAACAATAATGGCTCTGTTTCGTTCTTTCGTCGCAATTTCCACACTTAACTCCGGTTGTGCTGCACTCCTTTATAGCTAATACATCGAGCAAGCTGTTAATACGAAAGTTTGTTGGCAAAGCTGCTAGGTTTCCATTATCAGGGACCTTGAATTCCTGTCTGCACTCAGGGCACGCAATTTTATCTCTTCTGCCACTGGTTCGTTGAATCCCATTCAGACAATGAAGGCAAAAACTATGCAAACACGGCAACTGTTTTGGATCGGTGTACTTGCTCATGCACACCGAACATGATAACTCTTCATGAAGGTTGTTTAACAAGGTTTGAATATCCATAAGAGCGAAAGAATGACGATCATAGTAAAAGATCAACGCTCGTTCACTAATTGTGGCCCGTTTGGGTTAAACTTACATGATCTCCGAAAATGATACCAACCAATCACAAAGGGTTACTTAAGAGGTGTCACCGACGAACGGCTTCTAAGAATTGCTTGCAAAAAGGTCAACATTTCTAAGAATTGTGTTTAGGGATGCGTGATTCTCTTACCTGTTTTCATCTTCTTCGACCACTTCGCAAAAGTGCTTGCTTAGTTTTTCAAGTTCCTGAAAACATCTTTTCACGTAACTCGAGTAGCCTGTTGGATTTTTCTGTTGAAGATATACATAATTATTGTATAGAACACAGTATGAGGCTTAACCCAAAAAAATGTAAGGAGACGATCGTGAATTTTATGGGAAATCCGAACACTATAATGAGACCCCTGTATATAGGAAACCAAACCGTAGAAAGAATTTCATCATACAAATTTTCTTGGAGTAATCATTAATGAGGACTTGAAATGGAACTGTAGACTATATTACCTCTAAGGCATCAAAGAAACTTTACGCTCTCAGACTATTAAAGCGAGCTGGCGTGCAAGAACAAGACATGTTAAAAGTCTTTAGAAGTAGTGTTAGACCGATTTTAGAATATGCCGTGCAGGTGTGGCAAGCCAGGCCGTCAAGTTGAATGGGCTCTTTACATTGAAGCCGATATACCCACCGCTCTTTGACAAATCAGAAGCACTACTAAGATCTGGGTAGTGACCCGTCATCAGTGTCCGCTCGCTTCTCAGACGTCAATCATCAAGTCTTATCAGGGAAATCAGTTATGTCGGATCTTTTCTCAGGTTATGAACAGTCTTGTAGCTTGGTAATCAAACAGCTATACCTTAGGAGGAATACGTATACCCCACCAGATGTCAAATCTTTCTTTTGAATTATTTAAAATAAGAGTAGACAGCTAAGGTCGATTAGTTTATAATCGGATGTACCGTTGTGTTACGGAAGACTCGAATTCACTTCGGCAGGTGGTCGGTGATGGTATGATGATTCTCGTCATATCGCGATATAGAGTACGGTTTTTGGGCTTCTTTTTTAATCTTTTGAGTTCATCTCCTTGGTCATTGAGCGGATAACTTTCTTGAGACTTGATATTACTTAAGGGAGCTTAAGCATTAACCACGAACACTATAGAAATTAAAAAGATCAAATGAAAAACAGCCTCAGCCGGGTTCCACTTCCAAATGAAAACAGACTGATGTTCATCGTCAAGAATTGTGTAGGGGCTCAAATTGCATATTTTCGCCTAGTCTATGGTCTTCAGCACAGAAAGCCAATATTCTTTTCCATGCATTTCATTATCGCTTGAGGTTGTGCACAAAAAGTTGTCAATTTAAAAAAAAGAGTATGTACTAACATCGAATGCTGAAAGAGGCTAAATAAAACGCGATTAAGTGAGAAAGAAGGCAGGTGACGTTATTTAACTGCTGCCGGCCGTCGGCGTCGTGTTCCCGCCCCTAAATAGACAGCTGGAAGAGCATAATGGGCAAACTCTTAATACCGTATCGACAGAGAGACCAATCGACAAAATTTTCAAGTTTGGTATCAATTCTTTCGAATAGGTAGCTTTTTTTACAAAATAATTATGTTCTTTTTCTATTTGTATGCCACAATACGTAAAGCAGGAGCCAGGCCCTGTAAGAGTGCTGTGGTACCAGCCACAACACAAACAGAACACCAGTGTTTTGTTCTTCGTTCCTGCTTACGAAATGATAAGAGACCAAACAAGAAAATGATGGGGGAGGGGTCTCTGCCTTTTCACCCTCGCCCCCCCGCGAATCGTGTCTAAGAAAAAAAAATCACAAAATTTAATTAAGCGGACCTCCTTTTTATTCTGCTGTATTGCTACAATTGTTTCTCTAAATGAGTGCTACACCCATTTTTATATCAGCTATGCCAGCTGCTTAGTGCAAACTACAGCTGACATTAGTCTTCTACGGATTAGCATGAAACCTGAGAGATATCTATTACTTTGTCAAAATTATAATTCTGTCTACGTTTTCACTGTTAAGCTTAGGTCATCTGGCTGGCAAAAAACAAAACTGACTCGAGCATATAAAAATTATGTAGAACTGGCTTCAAAATAGAAGTCTTCCAGTGAAAGTAAGAAATTTACTAAAATTACTGCTTTTAAAAATGTCTTGTTAAACTTTAGTCGAACTACAGAAGGTGAAAAGCTTCTTAATCGAACTTTTTCATAAGCTATAACTACGGACGTGATCGGAAAACCCACAGGGCAAATGAAAAACGCAGTAGACAGAAATTACAACAATATACATACATTTACTTTCAGAGTCACCCGAGAAAAGGAGATATTTCACACTATTATTACTTCAGCCTGCGTCGAAGACACCCTAATAAAACCTTCTGTACAGAATATACCAATAAAGTTTACGCGATACAGTGGGCCAGCTGAACGTAGGCTTTTATTAGTAAGCAATGTTAATTGCAAGTAAAACCCAGCAACTGCATGAATTCGATCAAAAACACGGGACTGAGCGGGAATAAAGCTAAAATTAAGAAATGTAAGTTAGAGCAAGAGTAATTTGCTGGAAATATAGACGAAAGGTCTTTACAAGGGTTTTTTTGAAAGCCTTAATTTAACATATTTACAGGAAGAAGGGTTGCCGCGGAATCGTATTAAAATAGAACATATCTGCTTTACAGCGAATTCATGACAGGAGAAGGTTTATGTTGATTACTATTTTACACGCCGGTGGAAGTTGCAATGTAATTCTAAACAAATAATAAGTGAATCTCTATGATACCTAACATTACAATCCCGGATAAAACAGATTCTCTTACTAGGTAACTTATCATACAGTAACCACTAATTAAATAACTTCCCCTTGAAGCATAAATCAACACAGGGCAAAAGTAAAGTAGCTTAAAGCCAGAATTTGTATTGCTGCTTTGTTTTTTGTCAGTTTTAACAACTCTGCTTCGACCTAAAGTAATAAGTATCAAAGTTGGCTCAAGTTAAGTCAAAAACGGGTCCGTTCGTAATCAAGAAATAAATTAAAATAAATCACTTCATGTGAAAGAATTGGTCATTTAAACACTTCATAAATTTGAGTAGTGCTGCCAACTTCCATATGATTGGGAACCGAAATATGTACCAGAATTTTCAATTCCGAATCTAAAAGGCATTTTATTTGTTAAGATACGGAACATATCCCCTGAACAAGCATAGTCATCATAATTATTCAAAAAGTTGAACGCGGTGGTGTAAGAAGTCGGTCACAATTATTTTACCATCACTAAGAACTGCTGCTGAGACCGGTATATTAAACTCTCCCATCCCGCTTCCTTTTGTTCCAAACTTAGCGACAAACTTCCCACTCAGATCAAACACCTGAATTCTGTGATTTACTTTATCACAAACCATCAGGTGTCCTGCCTTGTTCATGAACAAGCAGCGAGGTGTGTTTAACTCCCCGTCTGCATTTCCCTTCTTCCCAAATTTGTAAAGGAAGTTACCCTTTCTATCAAATAATTTTACACAATGATCACGACTGTCTGATACTATAAGATAGTTGTCATGCTGAATACAGTGAAAGGGTTCAGAGAAATAACCCTCGTTGCCAATTTTACTTAAAAATTGACCCCCCGCAGAAAAGATCTTGATTAGTTTATTATCAGAATCAGCAACAAGAATATTGTCATCACTGTCAATAGATAAACCACAAGGTCTATTAAGTTGCCGATCAAGACTTCCTTCTTCACCATAATGGCTCAGGTACTGCCCCTGTTTACTGACTTCTTGAACTCTGTTGTTATGTTGTTCGGCTATTATAATGTTATCAACATGAAACGCTATCCCAGCAGGCCTGTTGAACTCACCGGGTTGTGCTCCAAATCCACCAAACGATTTAACATGAGTTCCATCGCTCTTAAATAAGTGAATCTTATGGTTACCAACGTCACTCACTACAATTTCATCTTGTTCATTTACTCCTACCCCCCAAGGATTCTTCAATATTTGTTCTCCAAAAGATAACACAGGTCTGAACTGTCTGGGTTTGACTTGAACCTTAAAAGGGCTGTCACGGATATGTTCTCCATTAACCTTCACTGATGCACTGCATGTTCCTGTTTCTTTGGCAAAGTATTTGATTTTGTAACTACCATCTTTGTTATCTTGGACTTGCACTTCAGCTGCGCAGTTGTCGCCTTGACGATTGCTGATTTCGAATGTTACACCGTCGCAATCTTCGTGATACGGTTGGCCTTCCGCTTTTCTTGTTGTCACAGTAAGCTGGGCTTCAAGTCCAACAATCGCTTCTCTGATTCCTTCTCCATCAGCACTTGATTGCTGCGCTCTGGCAAGGGTTAGATTCAGAGAACCAATTTGTTCAACGGAGACGAAATCAAACAACTTTTGATTTTTTACAAAACAGAGTCTCGCAAAACTTTGCCTTTCACAGTCGCCTGTGTCGTCATGGTTATTTTCATCCTTGAATATTTTGTCCAAAATATCGTTCGGCTGCATGATTTCAGCGCTTGTGCATCGCTTTATAAGTGTTTCAGTCTTTTCAATATCTGATTCACGCAGTTGAAATTCCTTTTCCATCTCGTTCCTTTGTATTCCTATTTGTTCAAGAGATGATTTTGTTTTCCTTTCCAAATTATCAAGGATTTCTAGTTTCTTACCTTCAATAGCTGCATGAATGCTGTCAGCATACTCAAGTACGTTTTCCTTGACACAAGCGGCTTGTTCCAGGATTTCGTTGTAATATTCGTTAAGTTCCTCGATTTGACTTTTCTTTGCTTCCGCTCTTTTTTTCTGAGATTCAATTGCAGATTTCAGTCTTAACTTCCGCTCATTTGCAGCCAGTTCTAGAGGCGTCTTTGCGTGTCCCTCGTGATCTAACAATGCACAAGAATTACAAATTGCGACTTCGCAAATCTTGCAAAAGAACTCCATTTCTTTCTTTCCGTGGCCAGGAATTCCGCAAAATGAAGGTCGCTTTAAAATGTTTTCAAAGTCTTGTTCCCTAAATTCTTCCAATGCCAGCGAATAGTCGGAATTTCCAGTGACACTCTCCAATGGTTTCGTAGTTACCTAAGCAACAGGTCACAAGTAGTACGAATCTATTCAACGCTATCTGAGCCTTTGTCTGTGACCAGTGGCGTTCCTCAAGGAAGCATCTTGGGCCCACTTCTTTTTAGCATATATACGAACGATCTTCCATTGATCCCACAGAAATGCAGCACCCAGAGTTATGTAGATGATACGAAACTCATTACTTCCTTCGAGCTTAAAGCCAACCTGGATGCAATTGCTGATTTGGAAGACGACCTGTTTAAAATAGGGGAATGGTGTTCCAACAATCAATTGTTACTAAACCCTGGCAAAACCAAGTTGATGATATTTGGCAGCAGGCAGATGCGTGCAAAATTCCAATTTCGTTACCTTTCCTTTATGGGTAAGGACATTGTCCCTACAGACACCGCCAAAGACCTTGGTGTGACTTTGGATTCTAATTTAACTTACGATGAACATATAATTAAAACCGCTTCCTCGTGCATGTCCCGCCTTGGCCAGATAAACCGTGTCAAGCATGTCTTCGACAAACGTACACTTTTGATGATTATTAATTCCTTAGTTTTTAGCAGGTTATTTTATTGCTCCAATGTTTGGTCAAATACCTCAAAATGTAATGTCAACAAGTTACAGGCAGTGCAGAACTTCGCATGCCGCATTGTTAGCGGCGCGCGTAAATTTGACCATGTTACACCAATTCGCAAGGAGCTAAATTGGCTTTCAGTTCCCAGTCAGCTTTATTACCGGAACGCTACAATGGCTTTTAAATGTATGACCGGTCAAGCCCCTGAATACCTTACATCAAAATTCATAAAGCGAGCAGAGGTTAGCCGACGTAGCACCAGAAATTCACAGCTTTTACAAATTCCCTTTTTTAGAACAGCTGCCGGTCAGAGAACATTTTTCTATAGAACTGTGAACTTATGGAACTCCCTAGACAATTCCTTTAAACTGTGTAACTCGATTGATGTTTTTAAAACTCGTTTACGTACTAAATTACTTAAAGAATTGTAATTTTATATATATTTTAAAACATTTCTTAATTGTAAATAGGATCATGTATTGTCTTTGAAAAGCCCCTTGGGAAAGTCAATAAAGTATGTATTGTAATAGTGATCTTTATTCGCCTTGATCCTATTGTGAAGACCAATGCACTCTTCGCACCAGAAAGCATAACATTGGAAACAATAATAGCTCTGTTTCGTTCTTTCGTCGCAATTTCCACACTTAACTCCAGTGGTGCTGCACTCTTTAATAGCTAGTACATCAAGTAAGCTGTTAATACGAAAGTTTGTGGGCAAAGCTGCTAGGTTTCCATCATCAGGAACATTGAATTCCTGTCTACACTCCGGACACGCAATTTTATCTCGTCTGCCACTCGTTCGTTGAATCCCATTCAGACAATGAAGGCAAAAACTGTGCAAGCACGGCAACTGTTTTGGATCGGTGTACTTGCTCATACACACAGAACATGATAACTCTTCATGAAGGTTGTTTAACAGGGTTTGGATATCCATAAGGGCGGAAGAATAAGAACAAACTGAAAGTAGACAAACCCAGGTTCTGCCTTAGTGGTCTGCAAAGGTTCATATTGATCTCCAGAAATGACGCTCTGGACGCTTACCAATCATAAAGGGTTACTTGAGAGGCGTGCCTACTTGAGATATGTCGGTCACAGATGAATGGCTTAATTCAACAATTCCGAGAATAACGTTTCGAGGATGGATACTATTATTTTAGTAAATAAACTAAACCATTTTCTTATCACGTTCCAGAAACACGAAAACTCGAAACAACTCAGTCTTGATGAGAACATATTTCCAATTTCCGGAACACTTGGGTAATCTTCCTTGATGGGTTATTTATGACGACATTTACAGGCACCTCATGTTTTAAGTAAACGCGAACAAGATACCCTGGCTCGGACGTCCGTTCTCGAAAAAAAAAACCCTCTGGCACCCACGTTGCGTGCACTGTAGACCGTAGTCTAAAGTATAGGTCCTTTATTTTTCTCTCCTACCCTAAAAATGATAGACAGCCACTCAGCTTTCAAAAAATTAAGGCTCCTCATAGCCTGCGTAGGAAGCATTTTTGCTCTCGCTTTTTTTTTCAAGCAGTTTCTCTGCTGCAAAGGCTACGCAGACCTGGCTCATCAGAAATCCACGCAGACTTTGTTGCATCATTCGCAATTTAAGAGTAAACGTTCGTGACTGGTACAGTTTATTTAGTTCCTACTATTAAACAGAGGAGCTTTAATTTTGTAAGGCGATTACGATCTGTGTCTATAAAATACTTGTCTTTTAATGCCACGGGACATTGATTTTGCATATTCAATAACCATGAGTCAGCATACCTTATTAATGCTAGCTGTCAAACTAGCCGTCAAGTTCAATGGCGGGATTTTGTATATGTTTGTGCCACAGACATAAAGTGTAAACAATAGTTTACCGAATCAATAAACTGTCGAAACGGAAACGAAGCCCGAGTTACCCTCTAAGCCTGGTCTAAAATTCCGTTATGTAATAAAGGAAAGGTATGAAGCGTGAGAGGGCTCATGCAACTCGTATGTATGGTTTCGCGCAGCCTAGTCCCTAGGCGTTCTCTCTTGATCCGTTGTCCTCACGAAGACTGGGAGAGAGGGCGAGTATCTCTCGGTGACGTCACAGCTCATGGTAGAGTCCAGGAATGACCGCGCCGAAAACGCCTGGGGACTAGGCTGGGTTTCGCGGTATTCGGACGGTGTATTTATGCTGGACTAATGTCGATAGCGGTGCTGGTAGTAGCACCGCGATTGCTGGTGAATGAAACTCCTTCGTTGTATTGCTCAGGGAACAGAGGAGTTAATTTTTAACTTGATTCTGTGTTATTTTGCAGCACGAATCTGACTCTTGTTTCTGTTGGTGCGCATTCTGCGACCCTCCAACTCTGTTCTGAAAATTTGATTCAGAGCGGCGAGTCCTATAGACAGCTGTAGTCTAGCGGGCCCGCAACAGTAGTTATAGAAATGGTTTTTGTGGCTCACTTTTCGAATTTCCAAAATTTAATAAAAAATGATAAAATTCCTGAATATGCAAAAAATTATAGAAAAGAATGGCTTTTTATAAGAGGGATTAATAAGGAATTCAAGTATTTTGTTGAAAATATAAATGAAGCATCTCGTGGTTTATTTCAAAATTACAGAGTTGCTAGAATAAAAAAGTTTATCAAACGATTTTTGTTAAGTCAAAAAAGAGGTAAACTTCAAGATACTAGAAATTTTGAGATTAGTAGTAATGATGTTGATAACTTAATTAGGATTAAAAAACATTTTCTTAATTTTGCTCAGTATATCAATTTTTGTAAATTTTGCTTTGATGATGATGATCAATCTTATATTAATCCTTATCCTGGTTTTAAAAATATATATGATGATTTTGAATTATTTTTTAGTAGGTTTAAAATAAGATATGAAGAAGGTAATAGTTTTTGGTATTATAGTAGTGATAGTGATGGAATAGATAGTGATGATATTGATGGTTTATTAAATATTAAAGATTCAGATTCTGATTAATTATAAGTTAAGTATTTACGTTTTATAGTATAAGCTTAATATTATAAGACGTCATGTCTAACCAAGCAAATGGTTTTAAAGGTTCTCAACCCTTTATAACAGATAAAAAATTTCAAAATTTGTCTTTGGATGAAATAAGACATATAATAAAAGAAGAAAGAGAAGAACTTAAGAAAGATTACAAGGAATTAGGAGAAAGAAGAAAATTAATTAAACAGTATAATAAATTAAAAGAAGCTAGAGAAAAAGTAAGAAAAGGAATTGATATAAAAAAAGGAAGGAAGAAAAAAGTAAAAAAAGAAAGTAAAAAGAAAAAGATAAAATCATTTGAAGAATATTTTGAGGAATGTATAAAAAATAAAGAGATACCACCAGATACTCCTTCTTATTTACGTGAAGCTCTTGAGAGAGCTATTAAGGAATACAATCAAGGACTTATTAAAGAAAAATCATCTTTGGAAAACTTTGCTAACAAATATGTTATTAAAGGAGAACCTGGATTAATTCCAGTTGATTTTTTAAATAAAATTTATAGTACTTTAGAAGAATTTTTTACATATCATAGAAACATAAAATTTAATATGCTTTTGGTTTGTTTAATGGAACAGCAATTACTTAGTAAAGATAAAGGAGTTATAGGATTGAATCAAAGTAAGGCTTACTTTACATCAGGAATTCGAAAAAATTTAAAATCAACAGATGTAAATGAATTAATTAATCTTTGTTATAAAAATATTCTTGACGATATAGATGCTTATCAAGAAAATGGAAATGGATGGTATTTTGTTCATGTAGTTCAACTTGAAATTCATACTGTTGAGTTTAACCCATCTAAGGGATCATCTTACATTCCTCTTCCAGATTGGATAACAAACAAAAAAGCAATTGTTAATATTCAAAACAAAGATGAGAAATGCTTTCTTTGGTGTATACTTAGATATCTTCACCCAAGAGAAGATAATGATTCACGATTAAAAGATTTAAAAGAATATGAAAATTCTATTAATACTAAAGGAATTACTTTCCCTATGAAATTAAAAGACATTACAAAATTTGAAAAAATTAATCCAGAACTACCAGGAATAAATGTTTTTTCAGCTGATAATTATATTTTTTATCCTTTGAGAATGGTAGAGAAAGATTGTTTAAATACTATTGATTTATTTTTGTACGAAGAAGATGGAGTTTCACATTACACACTAATCAAAAATTTTCATCGTTTGATTAAGTCTCAAAAAACTAAGAGTAAGAATGGTTCAATATTTATTTGTAAAAGATGTTTTACACATTACACTAAAGAAGAATTATTACAAAAACATATCTTATACTGTTCAAATAATGAAACAGTGTCTGTAAAAATGCCAGAAGAAGGTACAATGTTATATTTCAAAAATTACGACAATCAACTTCCAATTCCTTTTGTAGTTTATGCAGATTTTGAATGCTTTACTAAACCAATAAATACTTGTATTCCTAATCCAAAAGAATCTTATAGTTACAACTATCAAAAGCATGAACCATCAGGATTTTGTTTTTACATTAAAGGGATAGACCCTAATATATCATTTAAACCAATTATTTACACAAAGACTAATGATAGTGATAATGTAGCTGAGATATTTGTTAACAAACTTGCAGAAGTAACAAATAGTATATATAATGATTTTTATCGCCGTCCAAAACCACTTAGATTAAATAAAGAGGAACAAAAATCATTTGATAAAGCGGAAATTTGTCATATTTGTAGTAAAGAATTAAAAAAAGATAAAGTAAGAGATCATTGTCATTTTACTGGAAAGTATCGTGGAGCAGCTCATAACAAGTGTAATCTTATGTGTAAAAAAACAAGAATACTACCAGTTATATTTCACAATCTTCAAGGTTATGATGCTCATTTGTTTATAAAACAACTTGCTTGTTTACCAGGTGAGTTAAATTGTATTCCATCTACGGAAGAAAAATATATTTCCTTTTCAAAAAAGATTAAGGTTGGTGAGTATAAAGATAAATATACTGGAATAATTTTACCAATAAATTTTGAAATAAGATTTATAGATTCATTTAAGTTTCTTCAAACATCACTTGCCAATCTTGTTTCAAATTTACAACCAGATGATTTTCATAATACAAAAAAAATATTTAAGAAGGATGTAAAATTATTAACTCGTAAAGGAGTTTATCCGTATGACTATGTTTCATCACTCGAAAAGTTATCTGAAACACAACTTCCACCAAAAGAGGTATTCTGTTCAAAACTGAATGATGAAGATATAAGTGATGATGATTATCAACACGCTATTAATGTATGGAATACTTTTGAGTGTAAAACAATTAGAGATTATCATGATCTTTACCTAAAGTCTGATGTTCTACTTTTGGCAGATGTATTTGAAAACTTTAGAAAAACTTGTCTCAAACATTACAGCTTAGATCCAGCACATTACTACACATCTCCTGGGCTAGCTTGGGATGCATGTCTCAAAGAGACAGGTCAAAAATTACAGTCACTACATGATTATGATAAGTTAATGATGTTTGAGCGTGGTATTCGTGGAGGAATATCCCATATTTCAAAAAGATATGCAGAAGCAAATAACAAATATATGAAAGATTATAATCCTGATAAAGAATCTACTTATATTCAATATCTTGATGCAAATAATCTATACGGATGGGCAATGTCTCAACAACTTCCTACACATGGATTTAGTTGGATGAGAAATATTACAAAAGAAAAAGTAATGGATATTTTAGATAAGGCAAATCATAGTATGTCAAATCGTGGAAGAAAAGGATATATATTTGAAGTTGATTTGGAATATCCTAAAAAACTATGGAAATCACATAATGGCTATCCGCTAGCACCTGAAAAGATGATTGTTAATGGTGTTGAAAAACTTATATGTCATTTTAAAACCCGAAAAAATTATGTTGTACATTATCGAAATGTGAGGCAATATCTTGAGATGGGAATGAGGCTTACTGCTGTTCACAGAGGAATATCATTTTATCAAAGTTCTTGGATGGAACCTTACATAAGAAAAAATACAGAACTTCGAAAAACAGCAGTCAATAGTTTTGAGAAAGACTTTTTCAAATTGATGAATAATTCAGTATTTGGAAAAACAATAGAAAACATAAGGAAAAGACAGAATATAATTCTTATTGATGATCGTAAAAAAGCAGCCAAACTAACAAGTCGACCAAACTTTGATAGAGCAACAATATTTGATCGTAATCTTATTGCAGTTCATATGAAAAAAACAGAAGTGTATTTTAATAAACCAGTATATGTTGGTCAAGCAATTCTAGATCTATCAAAAACATTAATGTTTGATTTTCAATACAATTATATCAAAAAGAAATATCGAAACAAAGCTGAGTTAATGTTTACAGATACTGACTCACTTTTATACCAAATTCATACGGATGATTTTTACAAAGATATATCCTATGATATATTAGAGAAGTTTGACACATCTGATTATCCTTCTGTCCATCCATCTGGAATACTAACATGAGTTAACAAAAAAGTAATAGGAATGTTTAAAGATGAAGTAGCTGGTAGACAGATTACTAAATTTGTTGGTCTTCGTCCGAAGCTTTATACTTTCAAGATAGAGGATGGAAGTTTAACCAAGAAGTGTAAAGGTGTAAAGAAGAATGTTGTAAAAAAGGGAATAGAATTTGAAAATTATGTTGAGTGTTTATTTACTGGTGAAAAGCAAATGAGAACTATGAAAATTATAAGAAGTGAAAATCATGACATTTACTCAAAGGAAGTAAATAAAATAGCTTTGAGTAGTGAAGATGACAAGCGCGTTGTAATGAAGGATAAAGTAGAAACTCTTGCTTTAAGATAATAAGATATAAAATAATAAATGAGTTATACAGAAGATCAAATAAAAAAATATCTAGAAATATTACATAATTATACTAAAAAACCAGTGGATGTAAGTAAAAAAGTTAGATGTAGGAATTGTCAAAGTGATAGTTTTTTAGTTGAATCTGGTTATAATATTTGCCATTCCTGTGGTTTAACTAATGGTCATGTTCTTGGTTATTTTGACTTGAAAGAATACGATCGATTTTATTTTCGAAAAAAGAGTATTTATCAGAGAAAGTATCACTATGAAAAAAAGGTTGATCAAGTTTCAAGAAGACTACATCTATCTGAGGATGAAAAGTATGAATTATATAGTAAACTAATGGAAATAGATAATAATGTCATGGAAATACTAAACAAAAAATACTGCAGAAAGAGAATGATAAGCATTTTTTATTTAATCAAAAAAATTTTGGAAGAGATGGGTTGTGAAAAGTACAAACTAGTTTATCTAAAAATTAGCCACCAAACTTTTGAAAATTATGAAAAATGGTGGGATAGTTATAATAGTTTAAAAAAATAATTGTTTAAATAAAATGAGTGATGTTATTTCAAAAGAAAGTATAAAAGAATCAATACTTGATCAATTTATAGATAGTCTTGAAGATATTGAAGATTTTATGAAAAAGAAAAATATTTTAAAGATTAAAATAAAATTTGGTGATAATATAATTTTTGAATTAAATAATGATACTTATTTAAAAACAGAAAATATCTTTTATTTATACGATAAAGAAAAATATGGTTTAAATAGATTGATGTATTAATTATAATAATTTTATATTTTAAAAAAATATATAATTTAATTTTCTAAATACGTATAACCACTTTCAAATACTCTAAAAATATCTAAAAATGCCTTTGTTTTAAAATATAGATCTTCATCTATTTCCATATCTAATTTTAAGTTATTAAGAATTTGATATATTCCTTCTGTATCAATACCCCCATCTTCCATAGCACTTTTTACAAGTTTTGAATCATATTCAACTTTAATATTTTCATCAATTTTCAATAACTCATCTATGAATGGTTTAATTAATACTTCTCTTCTTTCTTTTGTTATTTCATGTTTTCTGTGTAAAGTATTAATATGGTTTAAAGCAAGATTTTCTAGGAATTTTTTTTGTACTTCTTTCATTTCTTTAAATTCTGTGAGTATATACTCATTATGTAAAAATTCAAACATTTCATTTAGTAATTCTCTAGCAAAACGTTTTACATCTTTTTGTCTAATAATAACAGCTGCCATTTTATTTATAGATTATATTATTTTAATCCTTTATGAAAAATCCAGTAAATAATTCCAGTTAGGTAACCTAATACTTCACTATTTATTGGAGAGTCAAATGTGTATACATATCCTCTTCCAGTTTTGTAATGTTTGTGAAAAGATTTAAAAGCTCTGTAAAACATTAGATGATTATTTAGAATAGGATTATTAGATTTAATAGATCTATCTTCTATTCTATAAATTATTTTTTCTATATTTATATTTTCTTTAAAATAAACTTCGTATAAATATCTATAAATGAGTGATGTTTTTATAAGATTTTC